AGCCTGTAATTAATGTTCAAGCAAATATTTGATTATACTTATCCCATGGTATAATGAGAATCGTAAAATATGAATTTGGTTTCCAGAAACAGTTGTGAATTTAGCCATTTCAATTTTACTTCATCAGAAAAAAAAAATACTTTGCAAACACAGGCTTTATGAATTTCGGTCCATATGTATCCTTTCGGCTTTGTTTTACGCGATTCGAGCAAATTTTAAAGATTAACACGAAACAGATCGTTCGCGTTACCGCTTGTACATTTTTTTAAATAGAAATTTTCGTTTGAACGTGTGAATCACTTTTTCGTAATTTAAAAATATAATGTAAAAAAGACATTAATAAGGACTCTCTATAATTCAACAAACTAATAACAATTTAAAAGCCGTTGAGAATCAACGCGATAAACAATATATATAGTTCTAATAATAAGAAGCTTTATAAATTTATTTAGATGACACTGTTAAATTTATAATCAATTCGATTTATTTTTCATCGTTTCTATAATAGATCGCCACTTAATATGTCGTTAATTTATTTAAGATAGAGTTAAATAAATTAACTGAAAAAAATATATTAAATTTGATTCAAACTTATCATTTAATAAGTGCACACTTGATGTGGATGCTATTTATTCTAAAACTAACAGAAATGAATAGATTCATATTTTGACATACATGGAAGCTAAAAATAACAAAATGTTATTTAAGCCAAGATATTGGATTAACATTTCTTCTTCCATGTTTAATACTGTAATTTAGATAAAACATCAAAATGTAAAGAGTGCTATAATGTAACCAACTTTCACAACAAAATAATACATGTATATTCTGTTATAATATGACAATATTCTATTACTATATTTAATCATTAAAAGTATTTATATGTTTTTACATTTAACTTTGCAAATTTCGTGTATAACAGTAAAATGTTATCTAATTCAAGAGAGAGAGAGAGAGAAATTGGATTACTATTAGTTCTTTAATATCTAATAATGTATACAAAGCTGCAAGGGTTAGCTAACCAAACGTTTTGACTTGAATTCGGACCATCCTCAGTAAGCAAAAATTGACAGATTAAATTCGGAAAAATTCCACTAAATCTGCATCTTTCTATAATTTTTGTATATCGTATAGTGCTCAGCCCATGGATAAGGAAAAACTAATTTAGAAAACCATCGTCCCTAATTTTTAGTGTTATTTTTCCGGCGAAAACCAAACGTTTTGAATTTGGATCATTCTCAAAAAAAATAGACAAATTATAACAGATTTAAAATTCGGAAAAACTGCAATAAATCTGCATCTTTCCTTACTATAATTTTTGTGCATTGTGTTGTTCGTGGTCCATGGATAAGGAAAAACTAATTAGAAAAACCATCATCCCTAACTGTTAGTGTCATTTTTCCGAAAAAAACCAAATGTTTTGGCTCGAATTTTGATCATCCTCAATAGACAAATTGACAGATTAAAAATTCGGAAAAACTGCAATAAATCTGCATCTTTTCTTACTATATTTTTTGTGCATTGTGTTGTTCGTGGTCCATAGATAAGGAAAAACTAATTAAAAAAACCATCGTCCCTAACTTTTAGTGTCATTTTTCCGGGGAATTGTTCGGGCCGCATCACAATGCAGGCCTAGTAATCGCGCTCGCATGCCTCAACCGCGGAGGCATGCACGTGCGTCCGTTACACCTGATAGCGAGCGCAACGTACGCCGCTGCGATAACGTTATCGACGATGCACGATCATTTTTCTCCCTCGATCAAGGTCTGTCCACGTCATCCTGATTAATATTCGTCCCAAAAAGCGTCTCGAAAAACCGCCCCTTTTGACACCTGTCCATCCTCGGAGCTAGTTGAACTTTGATTATAAAAATCTCTGGGAAAAAACGAAAATCAGCATGTAGTCTCGAATACTTTACACACATGTGTCTACGGATCAGTACCCCTTTAATCGTACCCCTAGACCACAAGCTGACTGATCAGAAAACAGTTTATTTCTTAGGACAATCTACGACTCGCGATACTTACAGGTGCGCCGCGATCGCCGCGCTACGTCACGTTGTGTTATCAGAAAGCTTCTCTTTCAAGAAATATCCGCGACGTGCATATTTTTCTGTCGATATAACGTATGATTTTTCTAGGTATCTGATTTGTCATACTTGTAGATACAATAAAATAAAAGCGTTAACACTGGAAGTACAGTTAGTGTACTGAAAAAAATTTTTGGTTCAAAATGAATGAATCAACAAATTCATATTAATCAGAATTTTGATCATTACAATTGGACCTGTTTATCTTAATTAGAATTATAATAGATTTAATTATAAAAATTTTGATTTGTCCACACATTTTCTATTAAAATTCCTATTAATGCTACTACAGGCTTTTTTTCAAGTGTGGTACAAGGACGTCAGCAATCCTCTGAAAGAAATTAAGTGTATCAAAAATTAAAGTTATATTTTCAAAGTACATTATATGTATTATTATATATTTATTTAGTATAATGACTTATTACTATTATTATTTATTATAGCTTATCGAACTGACGCTTTTCACACGCGAGATTTTCGGTCAGAATTTTGGGGGAAAAACATCTAAATCTTCGGAATATACTAAAATAACTGTTTCAAAGTAAATATTTGTGCTTTTCGAAGCTTTATCTTCATGATTGACCAGATACTTTCAATCAGAATTTATGTCTGGCGATTGAAAAGGTCAATCCATCGATCGATTTCATTTTCACATTTGTAAAAATGTTATAAAAAGCATATCTTGTAGAAAGCATATCAAAATAAACTATAATCAATAATACTGGTAACTGGACGTCAAACTACACTGAAAAAAATTACTAAATCTTAACACATATTTCTTCAAATAGTATTAAGTAAATATTTACTTACAGTAAATTTGTTTGAATAGTTCTAAGTAAGTATTCTAAGTAAATATTTACCAAACATTAAAACAAATATTTATTAAAATTTAGTATTTTTTTGTGTAAATAAACGCATGTTAGTGAATGTAATGTAGTTTTTAAATATTTTTTAAATATTTACCAAACATTAAAACAAATATTTATTAAAATTTAGTATTTTTTTGTGTAAATAAACGCATGTTAGTGAATGTAATGTAGTTTTTAAATATTTTTTTTGTAATGGCTCTGGACACGGAGAAAACCCGCGAAACGCATAATTTTTATATTTTCTTAATATACTCGGTTGCTTTCAAAGAATTGCTGACGACAGTCTTGTGTCACTAACTTTAAACATTTCTTACTCACTAAAAGGATTGAACGAATAAATTATTACAAAAATAAAAAAAGTAACGAAGAACCAAATATATTTCATCAGTATAAAAGATGTAATTATTTAAAGAATTAAAAAAATTTTTCTTTAAAAAAGACTTCTCTTTTATACAAGAAATTAATTTACAAATAGAAACAATCAATGACGATTACTCGATTCTTCTAATGTTAATATATTTGAAATGGAATTTCTACACTCAAGAGTTTCTCAACTCGCCTATCTTTTGCGTGATAAGTGACGGTAAAATGTTCCGCTCAACGCAATTATATAACGATATCGTGAATATCAAAAAGACGGTATTAATATACGAAAGAGATATTCGACTGTCAAAAGGTTACCGATCGATGGATAATAGCAGGAAAAAAATGGTATCGCTTATCATTTCCTTTCGAGAACGAAAGAGAAAATCGGTGAGTGAAACATTTACGAATGTTTTACACTCACTGACTGAATTAATATTTAGGGCGAATTATATAATAACCGAATATTTACATTCTACGTGTTCACTGCTTGAGGTTAATTAATTAATCAGTTTGAGCAAAGCAATTAATCAGCGTGATAACGGTATGTACACCCTGATGTTTGGCTGCGAGTAACGTTTGAGGTTTGCTCGCGTTTCGAGGGAAAATTGCATTTGTGACAGCTAATCCGGATAATTCAACGTTTAAGAGAGATGTTTACTCTCTCGAATATCTTCTAGAGAATTTGAACAGATACAGTACTCGGTCTTTCACTGATAAAAGCATATATTCTTTAACACTTTATAGTCAGAGTTATTAATAAAAAATCATCAATAATCGGTAATTATATTTCTGCGATACACATATATATGTATGTAAGCCTCTTGATCATAAATATATTTATAAAATACCTTCAATTTACTCCTTGAAACTAGTACTGGCGGTAATATAAAAGCCAAGAGAAAACTAACAATTAAAATTGTTATAAAAATCAATATTATTTTTTAGTAAAACTTTTTTTAATTTATTTTTTATTACATATGAAACAATTTACAATTTTTAGGAATGCTTTATGATCAAAACAGTATAAATATTACAAGTGTAATTCGATTTCGTGACAAATCTTACAATTAGATAGAATTTTGATCAACGGATAGCAAGCGAAATATCTCATTACCTGCCTTAAGTTTCTAAGAAATAATTTTTGACACAAGGAAATAACAAGTTGAGTGAAAAGCAACTATTTTGTCGTTCTAATCTCGACTAAGAATTTCATATTTTTGTATGATTGAGAGCTTTCGAAACCTCGATGGAAGAAGTTTGTGAAGATTTCTCTTTCGAAAAAACTTTTCTGCGACATCTTTAGAGAATCTTTAAAACCTGATTTCTCCCTGATGTCTGCAAAGAGATTTCTTTTTCTTTTTACTGAAACTTTCGAAGAGTTTGTCCGTCACTACTGGATTCTCTTCTACGATTCTCTCCCGCGAATTATTTCGCCGCGCAATTTTGATCGCGCTATTTGCATTCACGCGGGCACTTTACGAGTTTCTGCTTCTGTCTGTTTAGCAACATCGTGACGATGCGCGATTGTATGTATACATGTACACATACAAACGAATCAATAGTCAATACTCAGCGTGGCTGAAATTATCACAGTAATAAACGGGTCAGCGAGTTATCGCAAATACAGAACGGCCCGCGGACACGTCATTCCCTGTCAGTCGGCGAGAATCATCGCGATCGCACGCATGTACACGCTTATCATTCTACTCGCCCAATGACACTGAAAATATTAATAAATAATGATACCGGATCAGTAAAAGTGCGCGGCGCGATATTTCGAGGCATGGTATACAAGCGAAAACAAGTCAGGCTGAAACCGTATCGATACTTCTGAGAGAAGAGGTGATTTCAAGAGAAATCAAGTACATTGTATCAATTGAAGTTTACAACGTACGTATGAATTAAATAAGAGTGTGCTATTATGTGGTGGTGTTACCTTTAGTCAAAGTGCATGAGAAAGTAGCGGTCGATAGAGAAGACAAGTCGCTGATACGTAACTAGAATATGGCAGAGTTGTTTAGTTAGGAACGATTGCAAGATTTTGTTCGTTTAAAATTTTAATAGGTATAAAGATTCCCAAAGTGTGCCTCGCGACTCATTTATTTTCAAATCTGTATCTAGTTAAATTTTTAAATACTTCAGCAAAATCGTTCTGGCGTTCTTTCTGTGTAGCTCGTCAAAGGAAGACGAATTGCTAAACTAAATTTGTTTAATCCAAACTCAATCGAGTTTCTTTACTTCACTCGAAAGTTAACTCTTTTCGCGTAATTCATTGAAAATACGTCACTCTATTCACCGCGTCCGAAAAGAGTCATTTCACGGAACATTACACTACTTTTTAAAGTGCGTGGCGCAACGTTTTTCCTACGAGCTTGAAGAGGTGAAAATTTTCGCGGAAAGTCATCCGAATCGTGATTTTTTATGTATAATCAAGGATTTTTGCGATGTGAAATTATTTACGATTTGCCACAAAGTCGATACAAAAAGAAGAAGACTTGCGAACAATATACGACCGAAGTAGTCTAAAAAAAGAAAAGAAAGAAGTGCGAAAATCGCAACAGAGCTCGTTGATGCAGACCGGCCTGTGATTGGCTTATAATATCTTAAGACTATACTTAAGAGACGGATGTAAATATAAGACAGTCTTAAATGTTCCGGTAATTGAGGAGCAGACTTTCAAAATGCGTTTCGTCCAAAATTTGTAATTTTTAAAAAACGAGAAAGAAAGAAACTATGCACACAAGAAACTACTTTACAGAAAATAACAATATGCCAATCAGTACGATGTGAAATATTAAACAAAATTTCTTAACAATTGCTAAAACTATTAAACAAATGCATTTTGTTTGTTTCTAGTTAAAAAATAATGCATTTTGAAATGTCAATGTTCTTTCGGCATATAAATTAAAATGAAAAAATGTTTCATCTCAGAGTAGCTTATAATATAAGTCATTCAATACTGAACACTACACCTTCTCTAACTAAAAAAAAAAGAAATTTTTGACAAAACGCATTTTGAAAGTCTACTCCTCAATTATGAAAGTAATCTGAGTAAAAAATTAAAATATAATGAATTTATCCTATATTTTGTATAATTACGTAATTGCATAAAATATGGAAGAAATTCATTTTTTAGCTCACTTTCATAATTACCGGCATAAATATGCGACCTATAATATTCTGGAGTGTTCTGGAGCGAGTCATTAAGGAATGGGGGTATCTCAATTTTTAAACATATGGTCTGTTTTCTGTTTCTGTACTAGACTGCACTAGAGCTCTCTTTCAATAAATATCAAATATACACCTATCTCACTTTAAGTTTCAAAATGTGTACACTAGTTCAGCCACAGAAAACAGACCTAAGGCCGGAATCAGACTACGCATTGAAGATTGAGATTGAAGATTGAAAAATTGAAATTTAAGCAATCGAAACAAAAGGAGCTAAAATTTCTTTGTCCTTATTGGTCAAATTTCAATCTTCAATCTTCAATCCCAATTTTCAATGCATAGTCTGATTCTGGTCTAAGGACACTCTGATGCAAAGATTGTACCGTTTCTTTGTCAGGGATTCATTGATTGGCTAATGTTGTTTCACTATACTGAGAAAAAAATGCTGTTGATTCAATTAAAGTCTGTATTACGGGCTGTCACAAACATAAGTTAATTCATGTATATTTTTATTGACATAAAGGCCTTGATTATTGAAATAATAATTTTTGCCTTTATGTCAATAAAAATATACATGAATTAATCATTTATGTTAGTGACAGCCCGTAATATAGACTTTAATTGAACCAACAGCATTTTTTTCTCAGTGTACCATAAGTAGAAAAGAGTCAGAAGGACCAGTATTTGCTTACCTTCCTTTTCTTCATCGAACCGCAGTTTTCTATAGTTTAGTAGGGAAGGCCCGCTCAGTATAGGGCTGCGTTCAGGAATTACATCCAGATAATTCTAAGCTATAAGTTACGTTACGTATATTATAGCAAAAATGCACCCTCGAGTTATCTAGGCGTAATTCCTGAACGCAGCCTAGTATAGAGTAGAATTCCCTGATGCCGGTAAAGGTGCGACACGCAAAGCGGGAAATGACGGATTATTAAATTAGAGTCACCATGACGACCGATGGTCAAGGAAATGGGTAACCACTGACAGTCGACGTCCGACGGTCCGACGTGCTGACACATTAAGCGGTCAATCGGCGCAGCGGTTCCGGTCGCGATCGCGAAACGAAATATGATGCGTAATGGTCATCGAGGTTCATTAAACACGATCTTATCCCGGGCGATCTGATCACCCTGCGCCGATTGGATTACGTACACATTCGCATGGTCGCGATCACGTGCTGGCCAGATGAAAAATCTTCGGGACACAGCTCGATGCGCAAACCGGCTCCATTCGTCAGTCGATTAGTCAGTCGCGAACGTCAGTGCCAGTGTGGCGTATTAAAAAACGTAATTAGGAGGATATCGAGTTCTACATTTGCAAATAATCGTGCACGAAAAGAATGATTTTGCTGAGATATCTAAAAGTTTAGATACAAAGAAAATAATTTTGTTTGGAATTAATTTAATTGGAATTAATTTAAAATAATTATATAGAATGCTCAAATTAATTGCTAGAATGTCAAAACTTTTTACGGAATTGTCATCAACGCTTAAGTGTTTATATAATCATTTTGATAATTCAACAAAATTATTTTTAGATCTACATTTAATTAAATTTTTTAACATGTCAGCAAATCCGTTCTTTCTGTGAGAGATAGAATTTGTAAATAAATATCACTATCGGCGGAGTTAGTGAAGATATGTTCCGTTATTGAACGTTTTTTCCTGTAATAAGATTACTTACTATATTTATCTTTAATTGAAAGAAATTAATTATACTTTCTTCCTTTTTAATTAGACGCTGTATGTAAAAGTCAGTGATATCGAATACCTTCGCGAATAGTAGAACACTGAAAAAGTTTTAGTGTTAATTAATATAAAATAAAATAATTGAAATAAAATTTAAATTAAATAATCGATAAATTTATATAACAATTAATTTAACAAATGAATGTATCGGCAAATCATTTTTAATCGCATAATATTAAATTAAATATTTAAATATTTGTTCTCTCTTAGTTAAAATAAGAAATGTTTAAAAAAAAAATTAAAAGAAGAAACTTTGAAATTGTACGACTAATTAAATTTATCGGTTGCTACTGGATTTTATAGACCTATGAACGCAAGGTGCGGGTGAGATTTCGAACGAATGAAAATTTCATCATTTGTTCAACGTACATATTCACTAAGTGCATATTTAAGTGACATTACTAGATAAACGAAGATAGATGAGTGCTGTATGACTTTCCAGCTGTAAAGGCGCTATTCTAAAGTGCCAAAAAAATTTTTTATATTTTTTTGGACTAATTGACATAATTTTAAACAGAAAATGGCACTAAATTGCAATATTTAAAGTTATGTATACATTAAAAATCAAGGGGCTAAATTCTGGCTTCCCTCTCCCCTTAATACATCGCAAATTTTATGTAGCTCGTACCGTTTGTACATTTTGAGCTGCTGTCTTTGGTAAATCCCATTTGACCAGAATTATCAAGAAAGCTGAACAAAACTCGGATGAAATTAATGATAAAGGAAGGACGGAACTGTATTACCTTCATCTGCAATTTTCTCATTACAGATGTTCCTCAAATAACTACAAATAGCTATACGAAAACTATTATATTAAAATTTATATTTTTCATCATTAAATCATTATTTATCTTTTTTTATATATACACAGAAAGAATGTTTTGCTGAAGTATCTAAAATTTTAGTTGAAAAATTTAGCGGATCTGAAAATAATTTGTTGGACCATCAAACTTATGGAGACGCTCAAACTGGTTGTTAAAATGTTAAAAATTTTTACAGCATTATTTATCATGCTTGAGAATCCTATATAAAGTCAACAAAATTATTTTCAGATTTTTAATTTTTTTATCTATCTCAATTTTTGTAGAGATTTTTTTATATAAAAGACTTCATCAAAAACATTCTTTCTGTGTAGAATTGAGATCTCGTGTATAAGTTCTGATACAAGTTATATTTTTCATCAACTATATCTCACAATAACATTATTACTTATTTGTTGCGTTGCGTAACATAGCGAGGTATTTTTTCGTTATCTTTAGTTTTCGAAGAGCTCGTCAGACTGCGGATTTATCGTCGAAACTCGTTGTTGACAAATCGAAATCGTGTAGAATTTATTATCGGCAAGTCGGGATTGCGTGCTTCGGGATTCGTCGGTGCGCGAATCTCGAGACACGCGTTTCAGGTGCTCCTGTTTGCGGGAATTACCGCGAAACTCGATTTCTTCCACATGTCAATCTGTCTTACTTGCAGACGGAATTTTCAGCGCGGTAAAATCTGCACGCGCCCCACGTCGATTGGAAAACGTCAGGAATTGCCGGGCGATGTTTTATCTGGACGGAAGAGACGGCACCGCCGCCAAGTACGACTCGTCGTCACCCAACGGCGAGGAGAATTTCGGCTGGTGGTTGAACGATCGGGAGATCACAATGTCGTCTAAATCGCGGCATGTCAGAGATCATCGATCGCTCGGATCGTCCATGTCGATCCTTTCTTGCATGGACTCCGATGATTCGGATAGCTGCAGCTTCGCGCGGGATGTGTCGTGGCAAGAACAGAAAGGCGAAATCAGTGAAAAAATCGAACTAATCTCGTTCACTCAGAATGATCTCGATATTGATCTGATCGAGAGGGATGCTAGGGAAACGGTGAGTGTGAGATTATATTGATTAATACACCCGAAAAGAACAATTTTGCTGAAGAATCTAAAATTTTGTTGGGGGGGACACATATCCAGGGTTGGTAAAGATTAATGTTTTTTTTTTTAAGAATAAAACATATTGTGTTTCTTCTTGAATATATTTTTAATGCTTCAAATATGTTTTAAACAGTACTACAGGGTGGGCCATCTATTGGTACGTTTTTAAAAATGCGATCAAATGAGCATACATTGATATTTTTTATTAATTTTTTTTAGAGGGAGCCACATG